GGACAACAACTATCTGGAATAGTCTGCGCTTCGAATCGTTTCAGCTGATTTACTATAATGGCCAACTTGTGCAATTTCCCAGTGAATTTATAACCACATGTTGGACGTACGTTCCACTCACATACGCACACATACACTCACACACACAAAATGTATCCGCGATATTAAATTCTTAATTTGCAATCATTAGCAACCCGTGAGGCACGGCACCAAGGCGGCAAATTTAATACCCATATATCGTACACACGACCGAGGTTCTGGATCTGGTTGTGGTTCTCTGTTCTCTGCTTTTGATTTTTAAATTGAAAATAATAATTTTGCGCACTCAATTTTCAGCGATTTGTCAAAACATTGTTTATTGTCCGACGCCAGAGCCGGCAAGTCGCCAACTCGCCAACTGGCTGCAAGTCGCCAGCCTGCAGATTCCCAACTTTAACTCCAACTCCGAACTCCCATCTTAGGCTCATTCACGTCCTTCTGCGCGGCGGCGCACTTTAAGTTAATTGAAATATTTCAACGATTTTTGCCCCTACCGATGGTTCAGTTGCCTGCGGCTTCTACCTGCCGTCCTGTCCGTCTTCCAGGTTGCAGGGACTCTTCAACTGCTGCGGCTTGGATCAAAGCGGTTTCGTTTCCATTTTTACTCTTTGCATATTGACTTGGCCCTGGCAGCAGCCTTTTAATAGAATTCAATGCTTATTTCTATCGCATGCGATTTATTTGCTACGTATTTGAGTTCACGAATCTGGGATCGGAGTTTCTCTCATCGGATTCAATATTGATTTTTATTGCCATTTGACCGCTAGGCGCCATATTGCCTTTCAATTGAGTGATTATGGCGCTGCTTCTTCCTTTTCTGATGATCCCGCAAACTGAGCGATTATTGATATGGGAAAACGTTGGCTAAATAGCTTTTAGTAAAAACTAGACAACAATTTATTTTTGTAAATTACAACATTTCTTGAAGAACTTTGCCAGAGGATGTTGAAGCATGCTATGCCAGCGGCCAAAGAATATTTAAAGTTTTTAGATTCCTTGAAAAGCTTTTTTATGGAGCTTTAAATTAAGCTTAAAGTTTCTGACGCATTTGCATATATCTTTGGATCTTTCTGAGGTGTTTGAAGAACGTAGAGCCAAATTATTCCAATCAATGTCCAACCAAGCTTCAAGCTTGAATAAAGCTTTAATATAAAACCATACCTAAACAGAGCTTTAACTCGAGCTTTAAAAAGAAGATGAAGATACCAGAGTTAACATTGATAGCTTTCATGCTGGGCTAAGTTTAACTTGCCAGGAGCTGAACAGCTTTTAACTCTTCTATATTCCGACTATTTACAACCGTCAGTGCTTTTGCAGTGAAACAAAGAGAAGTCGTGTTATAAAGTTTCTGCAAATACTCTCTAAGAGCTTCTCAGAAAAAATGATAAACTGCCTCTCTTTTACTAAAATAAATTGCCGCGAATTTCCCGGTACAATCGGCCAGTGGGCCTGCTGCGGCCTGCTGAGCACTTTTCTGTGTAATCCTGTGAGCTTTGTTGGCTTCTGCAACAAATTTTGCTTGTTTTGTTTCTGACAACAGCTCAGCCTTAGCCTATGCCAACTGTCGCACAGTGAGCTGAATATTACACACACACACACACACCCTCTCTCCCCCTTTCTCTGGATAACTTCAGTGTATGACTGTCAGATGCGTTTGGCGTCCGGCTCGAAAGTTTATACAATGTGACGGCTATGGCCAAGACGACGGCGAACGCCCACAGAAAAGAAAAAAAAGTTTTTCAGAGCGCGTAAATCTTTTGCATAATTCAGTGCCTGCTGCTTCTTCCCCGCCCAGCCCTGCCCTGTCCTGCCCTGCTGCTGGCCATCCACAGAGCACGCTTTAAGGCGGTTTCAAGTGCCGCACTTACGTAGAAGTTGTTCCCCTGCTCCGCTCCAGTCCTCAGCAGAGCTGCTTGTCACACCAATAGCCTGTCCAAAAAGCAACCACGTGCCCAGCTCTACTTTGGGTCCATTCAGTTGGCCCCCTGTCTGGCAGCCCATGCCCCAGATGCGGGGTTTCATGCAAATCCTGTGCGCTGTCCTTCATTGGCACCCACCCTTGTCCGCAGCTCCCCTCATCCGCGTCTCGTGCGTTTTATAGTTAAACATGCCACCCATTTAATAATCATCCCTCCACGCATTGTCCCCCACTCACATGTAAATGATTTTTTTTTTTTTTTCAGCCGTCTTTTTCTTGCTACTTTCTCAGCTTCCGCTGGAACATATCCGGGACGTTTCTTATCCATTGTTGTTGTGTGCGTGTGCAGACTGTTGTTTAGTTGGGTCTCTCCCTTGATCCTGGTCTCTGGTCTCTCGGGGCGTCATTTGTATTAACGAAGGTGAAGGATTTTTCAATTCCTTTTTTTACTTATACCTTTATGTCTACCTCTGTCGGAGTTTTCTTTTTGTTTTCACCTTCTTATTACTCCAACCATCAGCTGGGGGTAAATAAGTTTTTGACTGCCCGAACTATGTGCTTGTCCCACTGTGCTTATGTCGGCTATTCATCTTCATCTGCGCCACGCACTTTTTTCCATTTACAGGCTCTCTTAATGTTAATTTTTTATTGCATGTAAATATTGCAAGAGAAAGGCAGCTGAATAAATGGAGCTGGGGCTCATGAACGGGGGGACATGTTTTCTTTGGGAGTGTGAGAATGGGTTGACTTTTAAGAAAGTATCTTGTAGTGTCAATAAGTAGGAATTAATTATGTTCTTGGCAAGTCTTAAAAACTTGCAAAAATGCTTCAGCAATTCTGAGAAACAGCTGTCTTTAATTAAACATGAAGAAGAAATGCTGTAAAAAGGTGTCGCAAATATATTATTTATTTTTTTTTATTTATTTATTAGTTTACTATTCGTTTCGGTCCTCCTTCATCTATTTATAAAAAAAAACCTTATATATAATTTTGCCGATTCAGCCGTCAACATTAGATCACATGCAGCCAATGCCACTTATCAAAGGATCTCACGTGCAATTTAACGAATTTGCCAAAACACTTACAAGGAAAATAGTTAGCGAAAAAAAAAAAAAAAACAAAAAAAAGCCCAAAAGTTAAACAGACAATAGACAAACATGGTCTTAACTACGCAGCTGTAGCTACGAAAATCCAAAAGCTGTAATTTAAGCCAAGTACCAAGTAATTCCACATCCCAATCCCAATGCCCAGGCACAACCAGAGCTCTCAAGTGCAAGCGCTGCGCGTGCGCAGTTGCCGTTCGCCGTTCGGCGTTAGGCGCTGCGATGGTATCGCAGGAATCGATGCCTGGCACGAAATGAGACTCTCGTCTGGGCTTAAATATAATATTTGTATGCGTTATAAGCGCATGGCGAGAGGGAGGAGCAGCGGATGCAAGTATTGTTGGCAGCCGTTGCGGAAAGGCTTGTTAGACGAGGCCATGCGTTCGGACTTGGCCCCAACTGTCTGTCTGTGCTAAACAGGCATTGAGTTGTGAATAAGTGGCTCCCCTTACCACTTAGTATGCGGTAAAAGGGGAGAGGGCGGGAGGGTTTCGCCGTAGGTCATTTAGCTTCTTAAATGCAATTGAACGGTGTTCGTGCGGCATTTTTAGGCAACACTTTGCAAGTGATTCTTGTGCCTGCTCTCGGTTAGCTATGCTTCCTGAATATGTTGACTGAGCCGAGCAGGGTTGCCAGATTGGCCAAATGGATGAGCATTTAGATGCAGCAAATAGGCGATATGATTTAAGATTTTTTGTTGAGTAGTTGATTATAAAAATTGAACAACGATTCATTAAAGATATATACGGACTGACTGATTGACAAACAATTCACATCCCAAGATCTGAGATCGCTATACCCTACTGTTAAGATCTCTATACCCTACTGTTACGTATGATACAAAAATAGACTTATTCTTGATAAATTCTACTCAAGCGGGTGGAAAATGTGTGACAAACGGATTAACATGCTTTGAGCGACTGTTAGCCTTTTATCTATTTATACCTTCTAGCTATCTTACCCGTTAATTCTACTTCTTTCAAGCATTGATATCCTTGAACACCCTGGCAACCCTGTGGCCCTAACACTGCCCACTTCAAGATTGATAATAAGACAGCGCCGCAAAGAATTCCCAACAAATATCCACTAAATGGCTGAGCAGATGATCGCCCAAAGCTCAAGCGCTGTCAATTTCATTGTTTTCCGGTGTCTAAATTGTAAGCCCTGGCAACTCTTGCCCGCCCGCTACGCTTTAAGTGTTGTGGCTTTCACTTTGGCACATCTTAGACACTCATTTGGTTGTGTGAGAAGCAATTGCTGCCCCGCACACCACATACGATCGCTGAGCTGGGATTCTGGTTGGGTTCTGGCTCGCTCTAGTGCTGTGTGTTCGCTTTTTATTTTGCGATTTGTTCGCGATTTGACGGCGAATTTGTTACACCCACAATTGTTGTGGCAGTCACCTTTTGTTTTTGCCACTTGCGGCACTTTTGCACTTGAAATGCGATCGCCATGGATTTGGCCAAGCGAGTCCACCCTCTGGCTGCCTGCGCCGTGTCTTGAAAATGATTTATTTGAGCACGCGCGTTCGCCAGCTCGCAGAGGAGGCCACACTCCAGAGCTGGGAGCTGGGAGCTGCTGCTGTTAGTTTCCAAAACATTTCTTATCGCCAGGCAATTAATCCGTGTGATTGGCCATTTGACGCCCACGCGCTGTGGAACTCCAAGACCGAAGACTGTGCACAGAAAAAGCTCTCTCGAGCGGACAACCGCAGTGCGAGTTTGTTGTTTTGTTAGACATTTGCTTGAATTAAAATTATGTAGTTCGCTTATGGGGCTTTCACTGTATGTGACGTTAAAAATTTTATGATCTTTATTAACAAAAAGTCAGATAATTGCCATGTGAAATTAATTTTTTTATGTACTATATTGGTCAAGTTTACTCAAATTGAATTTAAAAAAACAATATTTCTATGAATCGTAGTATAAAAAGTTTATTAAATGATCAATTATGCAAAATGAAAACAGTGAATTGAGAATCGTTTAGCGAGTTGCCCATTTACTTCTTCTTCAGGAAGGGGCTGATGACAGCTGGAGCAGCATAGGTAGAGATGGGTGCCCCATAGGGCGAGGCAGCGTAAGTGGTGGCAGCATACGGGGAGGCAGCATAGGTGGTGGCAGCGTACGGGGAGGCAGCGTAGGTGGTGGCAGCGTACGGGGAGGCAGCGTAAGTGGCGGCAGCATATGGGGCTGCATAGGGTGCGGCATATACCTGAGCTCCATAGGTGGAGTAGGCGGCGGGCACAGCGGCAGCGGAGTAGGCGGTCCGGGCATAGGTGGCCAAAGGAGCTGCTGCAGCATATGTAGTCACTGGAGCGGCAGCGTAAGTGGCAACTGGAGCAGCCAGGTAGCCCGCCTGAGCGACAGCCACACAGAGAGCCAAGCAGATGAAGAACTGCAGCAAGACATGAGTCATATTAAAGGCAAAAAACTGGAGCAATTGCCAAGAGTCAACTTACTTGCATGTTGATTGTTTTGGTTTGTTGGTTTGTCAGCGACTGATGCCTTTAGCCAATCAACTGGTCGCTTTTATAGGCCAGGCCAGCAAATGCGTAGGTGCGTTGCGACTTACAGAAACGAGTTTACGGCTTAGGGAATGCCAAACTAGAACACAATATGAACGCAATGGATTTTATTTCCATTCAAGCAAGGCGGATGCTGTCACACAGCACTTGACGCGATCTTCGGCTCTAGATAATTGTTGCCAGATAATTGTCATGGGCAGGCGTAGCAAATGGATTAATTCTATTTCATATGCGCTGTTCCTCAAGTTTCCTTCTTGCTGACAGCTAACTTTCAAGTTCAGTTCGTTAACCCAATTTCCTTGATTAATTATACTGTCTATAATTAAACTGTGAAACGTGTAAGCTCTTGGTATAGGAAAAAGTGAGAGCTTTGGCCTTCAATGAAGAAGATGCCATTAAGCTCAGAACACAATCCACAGTGTCATGATAATAACATGCAGATGGTTATTGAAAGCTCGCCCTACTAGAGACATCTTAATAAATAACTACTCAAAAACTATTTCAATCCCATCCTAAGCATTTATTCCCACGAACACATCAATTCTTCTGAACATCCCAGCAATGCACACCAACAAGATCAATTACCTTTTCTTCCGGCCAATGCACCAATCAAAAGTTGAGCTCCTTCCCACCTTCCCAGCTCCCCTCATCTACCCCCACCACCAGCTGGTTGCTTTGTTCAGTTCCTTAGCTGAGCAAGTGACATGTTGACATTTCACGCATTTGACAGTTTAGCTGTTTAGCAATTCGCCTGGCAGAAACCACTAACAAGGTCCAAAGCAAACACCAAACGCAAAGAAAAGCTGTTTTTTCAGTGGGTTTTCCACGACATTGCAAAAAATTTGCAAATCTCACGCACACGTCTGCCAAAAAGGGACAGTTCGACGGGCGGGCGGACTTCTGGGCGCTGGGTGTGTGCACAGTTTTTGGTTGGCTGCACACTAACACACTCCCACACACACACACAATTTCGCACACTTTCACCGCGTGTCAACACCGAAGTAAGACTCCGTTCGCAACCGTCGCTTGCCCTCAGCCCTCAACCTTCTGAGCGCGCCCGCATTCGCCTTTTGCCAAAATGTTTTTATTGGAATTTTATTTTATTTCATTGGATTTTGATGGTTTCATTGTGTGTGTGCGTGTCTCAGTCGTGTAATGGAGTCACTGCGGCCACTTTGGCAGCCCCCGCCCCCGACCCAATCAGCCCTCCTCGAAAGACTGCCAAACGATGCAGGCAAAATGCGTATGCAAATTATCCTCGTTTACCCCACCGAAAAGAAAAACCCACAAGCAGAAATTGCGCTATACGGATTTTCTTTTTTTCTCATTTTTGGCAATGTTGCGAGGGGTTGCCGAGCTAGGGGGTGGGAGCTGCGTGGGGCTGTTTAAACGGACTCTTGGCCGTGTTTTATTTGTTGTTATAAATACACACAACACAAGGTTCACATAGGCATCGAACATTTGACATTTACTGCTAATGAAGTCAATTGCTGTCATTTATCTTGTTGTTGTTGTTGTCGTTGTGGGTGGGTCTGCGGTGGGTGTGGCTGTGGGTGTGACTGTGAGTGTAGTGGGTTTAGGTGAAGCGTGCGTTGCAGCAAAGCATGTAAATGAGACACTCGCAACATGTACAACATTATGTTTGAGTCTAAGCTGAGATTTGTAATGTCTATGGGGAATTTACACTCAGAGAAAAGCCAAGCTGGAATTATTTCTAATTTGCTGTTGCGACAGACAAAGGATCAAAATCTATGTTAACTTATGTGCACACCGATTTTAATGGCAAGGAACAGGCTCAATCAGAAATGTATTTTCTGTTATCCCTACCCCATAGTTGAGCTTAAGCTTTGTTACTTTTGCTGAAGCACATTTGCTGCCTGCTTCATTCTTATATCTTTATATTCCACGCATATTCCGTTCTGGCAGCTTGCACTGAATTCCACTTTTGTCACGTTTCGTGTGTTTTCACGAGTTATTAAAAATTTGCGAGCAGAGCCATTAAACCCTGTTCATCAGCATAATCAAGTGCAATTGCGCTGAAGCTGCAGCGAGTGCAGAGTGCCACAGCCACAGATGCAGATACAAATAAAGATGCAGATACAAATGAAGATACAGATACAGATGCAACTACACACAGGCATATGGCACACATTTAGCTGAGACTCGCACCCTGAACCCGTTGATCTGGCCTCTTGCCAGTTGTCTGGCATGTGTTGCCAGTTGGCGTCAGATACAAAAGACTCTGCAATTGTCTCTCTCTCTCTCTCTCTCTAAGTCTTTCTCTCTTTGTCTTGAGGTCGAGGTATTTAGATCAGGCAATATTATGCGCTGTAATCGCTTTGCAGAAGGCCGCTGCACGTTTCGTGCAAATTGTAGCTGCATGCGGCAGACATGCGACGGGGCAGCGTCACCCGTTAACCCCGCTACCCCTCTTCACATCCCTCCCCCTCCCCACAATCACTTTGCATTTAAATGATGCATTTTTGCATGCATGCTTTGGGGCCACGCTTTGCGCTACATTTTATTCGCAATGCTACAAAAATTGACCTTGTAAGATTGTAAATTAAGCGCATCGGTTGAAGATCGCGTCTAGAATTATTCTGGAATGTGTCTAGCTAGAAGTGCGTAAGCGTGGTGAGCACCAAGCGTGATTCCCAACTAGACTTGTAGCTAAAGGAGATTCCATTCAAACACTCTTAAAGTAACTCGCTTGTGCTGCTGTCTTTTGCGGCAAATGGGCTTACTTAGAGCTAGGGCTCTGATATTTTTAAGGGGCTTCCTTCAAGGATAACCTACCCAAACGCTCTTAAAGGAACTCGCTCGTGCCCTTAACACCTTGCACCCATTAAGAAGTTATGAAATAATTAACGTTACAAATTACAACTTAATCAGGAATTGACCCACAACACGAATGCGATTAAAGTAAAACTGAAAATAGGCAACGACTGAAAGGATGGGGAGAGGCGGAGAGAGCTGGTTGAGGGGTAACGGGTGACAAGCAAAGGTCACTCAATGTCCATGACGACTGCAAATGGGAATGAGAATGAGAATGAGAATGAGAATGAGACAGAAGACTGCGTCTGACGAGGGCGACAACCACGAACCGGCGACCGCTGCCCGACTGACCGCACGAACAAATGAATGGGCAACGGGTAGTTCGGCGGCAAAGGTCAGTTTCGGTTTCAGCGACAACAACGAGAACAACAGCAATCGCTGGGCAAACATAATGGGTAAATACATAAAAACGGTGTACAAGGGTGTCGAATGGAACCCCCTTTCAACAAAAAAAGGACTCGAGCAAAGGGTTAGCGGGCTGGCCAAAGGCTACTCGAATTTATTGTTGTTTTCGTTTTGTTTCTGGCAGCGGCTGCAAATCAATTAAAGCAGTTGCAGACCGGTTCGGTTCGTTGGCTTATTAACAGGTTGACCCAGGTCAGGCAGCAGCATAGAGACCAGGAGCTGGGGGGTTAAGATATCAGCGGGGCCATTAAATTAAGCAGCCGGAAAGACGGCAGCTCAGCGAGCCAATTGCCTTTTGAACACACAACACAAAAAAATAACAACGGAAATGCTTACTTTAAAGAAAAAGCAAAACAACAAAATTGAAAAGATGAAGTAGAAAAAAATGGCAAAGCAAAGGAAACGCAAAGTCCTTCTCGAGGGGTTGGCCGGCAATAAAAATTGCGTTGTCTTCTGCATAAGTGGTACAAAATATTTGCAAGATATTTTTATTGCATTATTTTTGGCATTTGATTTTGAAGATTGGCCACGGGTCGGCGGGCAAAGCAGCACCTAATAATATAAAGAAGAATAGGCGAGGGGTGCTGGGAGAGCCGGGCTGCCCCAGGAACGTATGGCAGAGTAGAGTAGCTGCTGCCTTTTTTTGTTGCACGACTTGTTAAACACTCGCTGGCTGGCTGCAGCGAATGGGGCTACTTATAACTCTGATATCCTTCGAATGTTCAGTTCCAAGGCTCTTTAAGACGTCTATTGGGTGTGATATATGGGTCAAATGCTGGCCAGAAATGAGACGAATATGCTGGGTTGTATTAGAACCTTTGACCTGGTCATTGGGAATTCCTCGGAGTCCCCTGGAAGCTCAATTTTCCTAATTTTCTTACCTCTCCCAACTCCTGGTTCAGCATATGTTAACTCTGCATCTGGCAACTGGAACTCAATTCGCTGGATCTTTCACTCCATCGGAGCCTTACTCCTCTTACGTAAATACACATTTCTTCAGTAACAATTACTCCATGCAGCATCTTGCCATTTCTTTGATATACCCTTTCCTCAGCTCCATACAACAGCGTGTCTAATTTTTGATTATTTTGCAATTTACATATTGAATTACTTGCATACACGAGCACGCAGTTGTGGATGTGGGGGAAGCGCTACATGTTCATCCGCGTCGGCAATAAAAAACAAATCAAATTTCAGTTGAGTTTTTCCCAAAAGGAACTGGGCACAGCGCACGGCAGGAGTGCAATTGCAGGCAATTGTGGTGCCAAGTGGAAGATGGAAGAACGGAAGGTGGCGGCTGGCAATTGGAAGATGTTGTTCACGCGCTTCCCACACGCCCGTGTAACCCACAACACGATCAGGCGAGACCCATCGAGACGGAATCACGGCCACAGCCACAGCAACAGCAACAAGGTGATCATGTGGCGCTACAACGGATCCCTCATCATGTAGCCGAGCATTGCCAAAAAGTCAGTCAGTCAATTTCCAGGTTCTTCCACTCGTTCTGTGGACCCAAGCACCTAGGATGGCGCTCGCGAAATAAACGATTATCATCCATTATGAGCTGTTTTCCCCCCTGTAGTGCCTGGACAGAGGCCGAGGCAGCTGCTGGCCATACAGTTTGGCTGTGTGTAGTCGTATTCTTATAAAAATGTTTGTTTTACTACGTGACCGATAAGCTTGTGGGTTAGGGGACGAGTGGTAGGGAGGAACGGGTTGA